TAAGATAAGAGCTGATCCAAAAGCCCCGGAAAGATACAGGAGGCTGGTGGATTAACTCCAAGGGTGCCCAATGTCACTCTCCCAGCTGGAGAATAACCCTCAATACTTAGAAAAAACTGTAATGGACTAAAAAAGTCCTAAATGGGAGAGTGACAGTAATAAGGGAAGGAAGCCCTACCTTTAATGATTCTAGGGAAAATAGAAAATATGGGTAACGTAATAGGTAAGGAGAGACCAAAAATGTTTACTGCTGGGGTTGACGAGGTATATATGAACTAATCCCAAAAGCAGAAAAAACAACTAAATATTTAGAATGATCCAGGCCTTTGTCAGGTACTACCCCAGCCTGAATACATAAAACAGGTATTCCAAGAGGTAAAAGTAACGGGAAAATGAGGAGGGGGCAATCCCCCCCAAATCACAAAACTCAATAACGCAAAAGAGTGGATCCCTATATTACCTTGGCACTGTGGACTAGCCACTAATGCCTTCCAGAACCAGTCTCCCTACCTAAGAAGAGAAAATAAATAAATCTTAAACTAAACTAGTGCATATTAGTGCTACCAGGTGAAAAAGTGATAAAAACAACAAAAAGCTTGAAGCGCGTTTCGGCGTGTCAGCAAGCTGTCGTCAGGAGCAGTATCTGTAAACTGGCTAGCCTGCTCGTTTATATATTACACTTGATTAGCATAGGAGCACAAGATGTAATGAAGAGGGGTGTGTACGATTAACTGCATGTCAATTAGCCCATCCGAGTTTGTTCTTGTACTTCTTTTATCTGCGTGCGAGGAATCTCTATAGGTTTAAGAAGTAATGTCCCAGCCCCAAACTTGCACATGTAATTCCTGCAGGATCAATTCAACCTTTCATTGACTTAAAATTACCGTATTTACTCGTGTCTAATGCGCCATCGAATCTAATGTGCACCTCAATTATTGAAACCTGGAAGCTGAATAATGTTTTTGCTGGTCGAATGTAATGCACATTTATACAAAAAGGTACTACTATACAACACTGTGCTACAATGAAAATGTTTATTGCCGTATATCATAGTAACATAGTAGTCTATTCTTTCTTACCCTCTCTTTCCAAGATGAAATTTGACTGTTTGAATTCATCGGTTTGAATTTGTTTGTTTTGTCTGTTTCAATCGTCTGTTTCAATTCACTAGTTTTAATTAACCAGTTTTAATTTGCCTGTGTGAATTTGCTGGAAAATTTAGAATTTTGCGCCAAATGTAATACGTCATCAAATCTAATGTGCATAAAAATTTTGGAAACGTTATTTTTCCCCAAAAAAAGTGTGCGCTAGATTCGAGCAAATATTGTACTTCCTGAACCAACTTTAATGCATATGATGCGCTATTTTTTGTCTACTCATTTTTTTTAAAATAGAAACAAAGACACCGATATGCAGAACGCAGCACCATAAACCTATCTGCTTAGCCTTGCCACAGTTCTAAAACAAAATACTTTATTATGAGTGCACACACACAGCTTAGCCATTTAGCATTATTGTTGGAGATGTCATTAGTCTAGGGGTTCACATACTTTTTCCACCTGCACTGTGAATGTTTACATGGTGTGTTCAATAAAAACATGGCAACATTTCATTCTTTGTGTGTTATTAGTTTAAGCAGACTGTGATTGTCTATTGTTGTGACTTAGATGATAATCAGATCACATTTTATGGCCAATTTTGTGCAGAAATCCATATCATTCCAAAGGGTTCACATACTTTTTCTTTCAACTGTATATCATGAAACATTTCTTTATTTCAATATCTTTCCATTTGGACTGTTGACCATACATGCATTGGGGGCAAGATGGGGGTAAAGAAATGTACTGCTCCTCCCTGTAAGAAATCTATAGACATGGTAACAGTAGTTCAATATGTACAGCTTGTTCAAGGTTTCAGTGTCTAATTTACTATATCTAGGACAGCCTTGTGGTCAAACTGTTGCTGCTATCTTTAATCTATCTTAGTGTATGTAAACCAAGGAAATGAGTCTTGTCTTCGGGCTATAAGAAGGATTTCCTTTAAAGCTGCTGACTATTAAGCTTTGATGTCCTTCTGAGATTATTCTACCTGCTTTGTAACTACTTTAGTAATTAGCTCACATTATTATCAAACTTTTATTTTGAGCATTTTTCTAAACCAGAGATTCATTCATGAAGTATTTGGGAGATTTACTGGAATCGTTTTATTTAACAGTAGAGGGAGCTTGTTTACACATTGCTTGCTTCAAAAGCACTGCTTAGCATTTTCATTCTTTCAAAAATCTGTTTTAGAACATATATCACACAAATTGTATCATCTATCATCTCTCTCACTCTCTCTCTTTCTCTCTCTCTCTCTCTCCCTATCTATCTATCTATCTATCTATCTATCTATTATTATTATTATTATTATTATCGCCATTTATATAGTGCCAACAAATTCAGTAGTGCTTTACAGTATTATGAGAGGGGTATTTAACTATAAATAGGACAATTACAAGGAAACTTACATGAACGATAGGTGGAAGAGGACCCTACTCAAACGAGCTTACAAACTATCTATCTATCTATCTATCTATCTATCTGTCTGTCCCTCCACTTATATGTCTGTCACTCTATCTATCTATCGCTCTCAATACAGTTATCTGCTTGCCTCTAATTCTTTGTCTGTTTGTGTGTCTTCACGTGTGTTTAAATGTCTGGGACTTATGGCACACTTATATACTAAATAGGGTGGACTCTATGGCAGAGACAAAATTCAGTATTTGTTATTATTTAATATAGGTTTATACAAAAGAAACTGCTGCAATGAATATGGTGCCATCCCTATCCTATCCCTATCCCATGATAAGCATTTTAAAACAGCTATTGATTAAGCGCAGAATGGATAAAAGCAGTTTGACTACTTCCGATAGGACAGTGACAGACGCAACTGGCAACATGACCATTACATTGTCCTTTAAATAATTTTTTTATAAATGTTAATATCATTAGTAGAAATATAACACAATGGATACTTATAGTTAATGTTTATATTAATAACACAGAAAATCTGATGTTAAAGCAAATAAATTGCCATGAAAGAGGATAAAATAACAATAATGTATAACTTCAAAAAAATATGTATCATACTAAAAATCTTAATAATAATAATAAAAATTATTCTTATTATTATTATTAAAATTATTATAGTTATGTTTTTTTTTTTTTATATATTCCTTGTTCGCCAAGGGCTCTCTCACAGTATCACAACCATAGTATTTTATAAGAGAAAATTAGATTATGTGCTAGCTTTATTATATTAACTATTAGATTTGTACCATGTGGATTTTAAATAGATTATTTTCACATTTCACAGCCATACATAATCTTTAGAAGTGGTCTCTATGATCTTGAAAGCGTGTGTACAATAGCTGTGTGCATTCCATTTCCTGTTCCTACAAATGTAATCTATTTCAATGTCACTGTCAGTCTGGTTTCTGAATAGCATTTTCTTGTAGTCATGAATCCTGTCACTCAGTGTCCTTCTTATTTATTTTACTGGCACTATATGTTTCTTCACATCTGTATTTCACAAATTATTTTACTGCTGCCTGTTGAGTCACTCATACATGGTCTACAATCCAGAATCCACTTTTTTCCAGATATCTATCTATCTATCTATCTATCTATCTATCTATCGGTCTGTCTGTCTGTCTATCGATCTATCGATCTGTCTGTCTGTCTGTCCTTCCTTAAGTCCCTCTCTCCATCTATCCATTCACCCGTCCACCCATCCATGGAATGCCTCTTTTTTTTTCTTAAGACAATATATATATTTGGATTATACCTTTTATTATTATTTTAAGGTTAAGCTCAGTCAAACTGAAACATGAAAAGTTATTTTCTTGGTAGATAGAATTGCATTTAAGTGGGATGGTGTAAATGTATCTGCACATGCATCGTTTTATTCCAAGAGACATTATTACATACTCCTCCTCATGGCTGCGAGACACATTGGTAAGGAAAGAATAAAAGAAGGATAACTGGTTGGCAAGCAGATGATTGCTTATATTATGGTGATAACAATATGTCACATTGTCATTTCAAAACGTGTTCTTTCTATACCACTATCTTTGCAAATGGCCCATACATATCTACTATCTCAGAGCAGATTTGGGAATAAAAACCTATCATTTATTCAGATCTATTGAAGGAATTAGTTAATTGAGACACTCACTGTCAGTAAATCATTTTAGATGATTGAGATGCAGTAAAACTATTTGATGTTTAATTATAAGGAAATAGTAGTTGCTAATTGTGTTAATTAAATCTATGTGCTTTAGTCTTGCATCAGCAAAGCAATGGTGTGTGAATGTCATTTAAAGTTGATGTCACAACATACATTAATAATAATAAAATGAATAATAAATTCAACTTATATTGCACTTGTTTTACGCATTGGACATTGTATGAATACCACTTGTCACTGGCCACTTAATTACAGCAAAGGATAAATAAACAATGATTCTGTCTACACCAGTGTTTATGGGAGTAAGCAGCAATACAAGTGTGTTTATTAGGAAATTTATAAGTTAAATAGTCAATTATATAACTGAATTATGTATATTAAATTCACATAATGCTGGTTTAGGATTATATTTTAGGGGAAAAAATACATATATATACATATGTTCCCCAAAAGGTTTGCACACACAGGAGTCAACAATTCCAAATGTCGGGTGCTAGCAACCAGCAGATTGTACAGAAAAGTCCAAAAGATAGTCAGCACTCCTGGGACTATTCATTAAAACATAACTTTTAAAATGATAAACATATATATTTATTTATTTAATTTCTACATATGAATAACAGTTAAATCATTTAAAATCAATTAAGTAGCTCACAATGTGGTAGTACATTATCTGCATGTTTTTTTCACATTTTCTTTGCACGTTTTCTTCACTTAGAATGGGTATTGTTTAGTTCATTATAGTTTCCTTTGAGATCTAGACACACTTATGAAAGGTTACATTTAACAGAGAACAATAGAGTCTTGAAAGTAAAATATTGACTTACAGTGTGTGTTTTTATTGATTTACAGGTCTCCTGACAAATGCAACAACGGAGCCCCGCAGAAGCAGTTCAAACTTGTGAGAACTATATACTTTAGACAATTTCACTGCTGTGGATCATCATCCTATGTGTCACTTACTCCATCTGTTTCTCCATATCTCATAAAAGACAGCATTGTTTCTCAACCTTATGAGCTAAACTCTGTCCTTCCATGTAAAGGATCATTGGAGATAGGAATATTGTATGTTGTTATGAGATATGCTTGAGCATTAGCAATACAGTTACATGGTTAACATTTCATCTACAGTACTTTATACGCCAGTGAGAGACTTGATGTTACCGACTTGTCTGAATTTCAATATTCTATCAATCTGAAGAGTATTCTCCCCAATCAGCCTTAGAGAGAAGACTGTTTTGTCTACACGAGGACTAAGGTGCAAACACGACTCAATTCTTGTGCCCTGGACTGTCTGAATTGCTTTTATTTTCTTATATGTTGGAATATAAATGAAATAGACCAAAGAGCAAAACTATGTTATCATGGACGCAGACCTATTATCAGAAACCGTTGGGGTTAAATACAAAAGGCTTAACATGAATGCTTACTTATGACTTAAGAAAAAACAAACAAACATGTTTTTGGGATTTACAAAGCTGGAGGTTTACTCTCCAATGGACATCTTTATGGACAACTGCAGCAATGTGGACACAGGAAATAGCTCTTCAAAAATACATTTATGGAACCTAACAGAGTATGGAAAAAAAAGAGCGGCCTATGTTAAGAAGAAGAAGAAGAAAAAAGAGCATAGAACACAACACAGACACTGTCTTAATGATATCTTTACTCCTCTGTACTTAGAATGACATTCCCATACTAAAATCCATTTTCTGTTTTAACCAGTAAAATAGGCCTCTTCTACAATTCCATTTTGATAGTTGAAACTGGATAAACCGATATTTGCAAAAGAGCATGTTTGGTCATCTGTGACCTCATTCAATACACCATTTAGCACCAGAAAACAAATTAAAGAAAAAAAAGTAACACTTGTTTGAAAGAGATCATTAAATGTATTTTGAAAAGCCTAAAAATTATATATTTAACAGTTTTTATATGTTGTATATTTGTAGAAAATCCTATTTAACAATTAACGTGGTAACTCTGCAATTCAAATGTCAGAGTTCTCTTGTGTTTATTACTTCAGTTGCCTCTGAATACACCGGTGTAGTTCGCTTTCTTCCATTGAGACATTTTGGATGTAAAGCATGATCAGAGAGAGCTGTGTAGAAACAAAGAATAATGTTTATATAATATAAATGCATTCAACCATTGCGCTGTTGGAAGGCAGTTTCTTTTTTTCTTTTTTTTTTTTGTCTTTGAGTACTGGTAAAACTAGTGTAAATCATTTCCAAGTAGCTTTTTCATTTTGTGTTCCTTTTAGCTCTCCTTATGAATGCACATATTATACAATATATGGGGATATATATGACAGGTACACATGGTCCCATAATTTACTTAAGAGCTCCATAATGTTTCTAAAGAGTACAAGATACATTTTGTTTTCTTTCGAGGCTTGTCGATCTCAGTTGGAATGTTCTGTTCAGTGAGAGTGCATCTTTATTATTATGATAATAACAGGACTACTCGTACCTAAATAGATATCACCTGTACTTTGTATGAAATTTACCTCATCTTTAGAAATCTATTTTTTTATATTCTTCAGTTTCATGAAGTGGGCAGTTAAATTAAAGCTGGTTATGTGAAATTTAAGGCATATGATATGAAACATAAACCATTATTGTACTTTTCAAACATTACCAGTAAGGTACAAATTGGTGTACTGTCTTCCGGGCAGATATTTTTTTTTTCTTTTTTTTTTTTTAAACTACCTAATACTGTCATCAACAATTACTTTTAACCCTTTTTAATTATTTAGCATGTTCTTAGACCTTAATTACTAATCTAGACATGACATCGAACCACAAATTTACAACACAGAGGACAATTTATTTGAAGCCCTAACCGAGGAAGCAAACAATATTAGACAGTTACACATTTTTAAACAAGACTATTGAATAGCTTTGAATGAATTGTAGGTTTCAGGTAATATATCTTTTAGGGCTGCTGTTACAATTGTTTAAGTTATCATGACATTAAATATATTTTTTCATAATTTCTTTTTTGTTCCTTTGCGTACGACAAACACTGGTGCAACATTTAGCGCAAGTGTTTTTGACAGACTCCATTTGAAATGATCACTTTCATTAGATAAAATAACATGCAAAAATGGTGTTAAATATATATGGGTATGAAAATCATCTGATGCTAACAATGTTTTTGGTGCATTGTTTTAACCCCTTCACCTCCAAGATTTAGAACATACATATTTTTTATTTCTTATAGTAGTGTTAATATTTTCATTAAAATTAACTTCAGCATTTTGAAATGATTTTTACATGATATGCCATCCACTTTTTTTACTTTTGTTTTTTTTTATTTTCTTAATTCTTTGCAGTGTTTTTGTATTTATACTTTTTTTTAATTCTTTTTAGGCGCATACATTGGTGGATGGTAATTCAAACTTTTAGTATTAGAACACTCTAAACTCAGGGATGAAGGGGTTAATTTACATACTATGGAGTGGAATAGTTCTATTTTATGCACTCAGAGCAGTAAAAGGTGTTCCGTTTTTTTATTGCTTTAAAAGTATTCTCTGTTGTGTTGGTATAGCTAAATTATAAAAATAAAGACAAGTCATTTTTATCAAGCCTTTTGTTCAATAAAACAACTTCACTAATGAAATTTATATTTAAATACATTAAAATTCAGGGGATTTTTTTTTTCTTGAAAAGAAACTTTTCTTTAATTCCAAACATCTCTGCATATAGCAATTTGTGCAATAGTCAGACATTATTTTGAATACCGTCCTGCGTTCAACCCTCATGAATGACATTTGCAAAAATGTTTGTTTTTGTAAATGAAAGGTCCTAATACATTCTTTTACACTGAGTTATGTTCACAACATAGTGTTTGTAGAAGTGACATGAAGATCAAAAAAATCGCAAGATAAGAAAAAAAAATGATCCAACTTTTATGAACTGAATATTTTAATAAATATGACCACTTCTGCCTAGTAAAGGTAGTTTTTAGGTCTCATGAATAAAATGTGTACAATTGCCAACTCCTTTAATGAGAAGATGGATGGAGTGAAGATATAGACAGTAGACAGTTTAACTTATGTGCTTTTTTAAATGAATGGACACAATTAAAGGAAAATACATGCATTATTAAAAAATATATCATACATATTCTTATTTTTAATAAAAACTTCTCTTTTGTATGTTTCAATACAGATATTCACATTTGTTCCATATTTTGTGTGTAACAATGAGATTGATAGTAATGCCCAGTTATAGATATGATTTTATTCAAATCCATTAAAAAAAGTATAATGTACGTAGTTAAATACAAACTTACATTAAGAAATGCTTATAGTGCTTACAAATTCATTGATGATTTCAAAATGAATATAATATGCAAAAAAATTCTAAATCACTACAGGTTTCATGAAAATTCCATGTCTAATGGGAAACTGTCACTTCTCAGGATTTTGAATATTATGTTTGCTTAACCCCTATATTTAAGACGTGTATTTGCAAAGTATAAAAAAATGATTGTAGCTCTGTGTCAATCAGTGCCAAGCTCTGTCTTTTGCACCTGGCAGTCGGGATAGAGAAAATGTACAGACAAAGACAGAAATTAAGCAATGTTACTATTTTTCCTCCTTGTTTGCTCTGTGTGTGTCTTGACTATGCCTCGATCAAACTGTATTTAGAGACCATTCACTAAATTTTTAATACAAATGTAAAACAAAACAAAGCATCATATAATGAAGGTTAATGCAAATTATAGGAGAGTTTTAATTTTTTTTGGTGTTATTTTCAGAGAATTGACAGTTCCACAGAGAAGCATTTTAGAGAAACGCATTGGCAAAAGTCATGTTCACATTAAATGATAAATATTTCAGATAAAAATAAATTCAGCAAAAATGTGCAAAGTGCAAACATTTTTTGGGTAAAATAGTTAAATTCCATACACTCAAGAATTTAAAGATGGACCATTCTTGCATTATATACTAAAAGCCAAATGTGATAAAAAAAGGGTGTTCCACTTTTTGCCTTAATGATGGAGTTATAGTGTATATTAAATCATGCTCCTGAAATCTCACTGGTAAATTATCGACCATTTAGGAGTTTTTAGTTTATGCAGCTCTAGCCACACTTCTCCTGGCTGTGAATCACACATACTACAAAACATCATCTCACTTTCAATCAGATCTCTCAACACAGTGTGTTTACTTTAGAAGTTTTTATTGACTGCTCTGTTAATTGAATACTAATCACTAGACATGTGCACCAGTGAAATTTTTCGTTTCTTATGAATGAATTCGTACTAAATAAAAATTTCATTCATCATTTCCAAATTTCGTCCGTAAAACATTCCTTTTTAGGACTAATTTTCGTTAAAAATTATTTGTTTTCTCCCATTAGGACGAAAATAACACTGCGGATGCGCAAAAAAACCCAGCAAAGGCAGCGCTACCAGCTCCCTCCTTGTAATAAATATTAACAATTCCTACCCCCCGCATTAAAACCTTTGAGGGTCACTATGTCCCCCATATTAATAAAAGAGAGGTTAAATCCTCCTACATGCACTTACTCGCGCTCATGCTGCTTTAGTCTGCGTTTGAAGGCCTGCGAAACAGAATGAAAACAGTTTGTCTGTTCGTGTTAGGATGCAATTCGGGAGTTTTTTTTCGGAATTTCATTCGAATAAATGAAACTCCGATCCTATTCGTGCCGCAAGTACATAGCTCCCTAATTCACACAGTCTTTCAGACAAATTTACTAATACTAAGTAAAGATTACGTAGTATTAGTAATTCGCTGGGTGAAATTTGATTATTTTTTTTAGCATCTGGATTTTTTTTTCGCCATGTTTTTTTTCCCGCTTGGGTTTTTTGATTTATTTTAAGTTCGACGGATATTATAAATTTTTATTTGGCCTTTTTGGGGGCTGAAAAAAGAAGGTTTTAGAAAAAAGAAGACATCTAATGGTAAGTATGATATATTTTTTTACAGGTATTTAGCTTTTTAGGAAGGAATTAATTTTATTTGAGGGGTAGACTAGGGGCTTGGGGACCCCTAGTCACCTTGGGGGCTGGGTGGGTGGTTACTTTTACATTTAGCCCCCACCTGCCACCCATGGGTGGGGGCTGGAGTGGACAATAGGTCTCCCCTATTGTTATTTAGGCCCCCACCCACTGGGCATAGGTGGGGATAGGGGGACAATAGGTCCCACTCCTATTGTCACTAGGGCCCCCACCCGCTGCTAATGGGTGGTGGCCGGTGGGAGGCAGTAGGTCCCCCCCAATGTCATTATGGGCCCCCACCCACTGCTCATTAGTGGGGACCAGGGGGATGCAGTAGGTCTCATAAGGAGATTTTAATATCCCTTAATTACTAATACGAAGTAATCTTTACTTAGTATTAGTAAATTTGGCGGAAAGACCAATTTAGGTCTTTTAGCCTTTTAGTAGATAGCTCCCTAATACCATGGGATTTAGGGAACTATCTACTTGCGGCTCAAATAGGATCGGAGTTTCATTAATTTGAATGAAATTCCAATCCGAACAAAAACTCCCGAATTGTGTCCTAACACAAATGGACAAACTGTTCTCATTCTGTTAAGACGCAATTCAGTAGTTTCGCTGGCGTTCGAACACCGAATGAAGCAGCAGGAGGAAGGTGAGTATTGTGGGAAAATTGCTCTAGAAAAAACTAGAGCAGACAGGAAGAAATGAAAAACGGATCCTGAGAGAAGAGGAAGCGATTGAGGAAAGGAAAGTCCGCATGACAGTGCCGCTTTAAGTCTCTTGTGCAAGGAGATTGAGGTTTTTTTGTTTCTCCTCAGTGCTGTGGGGGTTAATTCTCCTACAGCACGGAGTCTATTAAATGAAAAAACTGAAACGAAAAGGTAATGCATTCAGCATTTGCCCTTTCATTTTGTATATAATTCGTATGTAGGACTTTCGTTTATGTAATAGTAAACGAATATGAAAAAGTAAAAATATTCAGACAAAATCCTATTCATCTGATAACGAATGCACATGTCTACTAATCACACACGAGGCTAATGTACATAGTATGCTACTGACAGAGCAGGAGATAAGATTTTCTAAACTATACAAAGTGCACAATAAAGCAAGTTGAAACATTAGATCTCTCTTTACAGGAAATGTGAAGGGAGACTGTGTAGTTCACATACAAGGGAGGTATGATTTATGCTTTAAAAACAGTGTATAACTTCTAAATGCAGAGAATTATGCTGCCATGGGACCGAAACTACTGCATTAATCTAAAGTTGTTTTGATGCTTATGATGTCCTTGTAATAAATTTGCAATAGTGCTTCCAATATGTGAATTCAATATAATAAACAGGAAGCATCCCCACTTCTTGGCCCATGGGAGAAGGAGTTCATAGAAGGCTCATCGTTCTCGTTGACCACCTAAACAGAGGAATCTGTGCCATCCCTATCCCCTCTGTTGTGGGACAAGAAAATACTTCTTAAATATATCCAGTAACACAATATTACCCACAGTGTCACAAACAAACAAAGCCAGTGTGCAGTTATGGTAAGTTATACAGAGAAGGCTGTGGGCTTGACAGTTCTAAAATCAAGGTTGTTATGTAGTTAAAAAGCAGAATATATTTTGACAGTTTAGCTGAGAAAATGTAATCATGTTACTTATGAATAAAATGGAGATACCACTGGGCACAGTGTCAATGAGATGGACTCTTCAGATGTTCTCCTGAAATTCTCAATCTTATCATGCACTTTGAATGGCATTCAATCTAAACCTGACTGTTCACTGTGTGTAACCTGATAGGAGAGCTACATTTTGCTATTTTGGAAGCAATTAAAGAAAAAAATATGTTACTGATGGAGAAACAATGGAGTCTACACTGTGCATACATTAATAAAATACTGTTATCTACGTGGAATGGAAGAATCCCATTGGTGATGTCATCAACTCATCTCATTGCAGTGTAGAGTGTAAATAAAAAAGCAGATCTCTTACGGCTCATCTACTTCATATAAAATGTAGTAATTGAATAAACACTAAATAATGTTAAGTCATTGGATACATATGTAAAATAATGTAAATTTTTTTAAATAAAAATATTCTTATTGGTCTTCCAATTGTATTAATGACAATAATGTTAGATAACTCTATCTCTCTAGATGTCACACTGTACATGTAGCATTTCTCGCAGATAACAGAGGGCAGTGTAAATACATGGAATAAAATACAAAATATCTTCTTAGGTCAATTCATCATTAAATAAAACATAAACATTTGTTTGAAATAAAAAAATACAACATTAGTGAAATCCATCTTACTGAAAAAATATAATAATAAAAAGAATCATTGTTGCCTCGAGGGTGCCATTAAAGTGACAAATATTTCCTTGAAGAAAATAAGGGAATAGTTTAATACTTTTATTCTATTCCATCCTCAAGACTTTCCAGCCCTTTATTGTACATTCCCACATATTCCCCCATTGTGTGTGTGTCAGCATTTCAGAGATTTGTATCTGCTAATTGTCAACTCTTTATATCCTTTCCAACATGTTTCAATTATTATTGTTTTTCTTGTTCTTGTGCAATTGCCTCTTTTTCCCTTCCCCCACTTTCTTTGTAACATTGTATTTAGCACCTTAATACATGACTATATTTTGCTGTTGTGGTGGTCTACCCCCTTATAAAAATCTGAGATCTCCCTAAAGGGAATCTCTATGTCCAAAAAATTATATATTTTATTGCACATAATTAATTGGTGTAAAAAAAACATGCATTTACTAAAACGTACATAAAACTTTGCTAACTTAGAATGTAACTTTTATTAGTTGCAGAACTGGCCTCTACAGCTATTAAAGACCGCCCACTTTTGCTCCGCACGTACTTCCTTGTTAGTGCTTGGTCAACATCAAATCAAACGTTTCTCACAGAGACGTATTGAGTGCACATCTGCAGTCCAAAGCTTCTAATAGAGATAGGGAGTTTTATTGAGATTTAGGGATTTGTATTTAAAAATAAACAAAAATGACACTTAATAGTTGTATTAGTTCAAATGCTATTTTCAGGTATTCATTGCATGTGTCCTTTAAAATAGAGACTTGCTATATAAAGCTATTGCAGTCTAACATTATTATTAGGATCAGCCAACCACTGGATGACATGGAGAGAAAAGAACAAATAAGGGTGTGCCTAAGACAAGTAGAATGCATATATAAAAAAATATATCAGAGAGTACGAGCAGCGATACCTAAAAAAGTCCGAATATAAATAATCCACATATGCAGGAGGTAGTCCTAGTGGTACATAAAATGGTATGTGAAGAAGATTTCGTCTAAGGCAAAGGAAAGGTTTTTTTACTGTAAGAACAATCAGGATGTGGAATTCTCTGCCTGAGGAAGTGGTTTTATCAGAGTCCATACAGATGTTCAAACGGCTACTAGATGCATACTTGCAAGAACAGAATATTCAAGGATATAATCTTTCAATGTAGGGTAATAACTGCTTGATCCAAGGATAAATCTGACTGCCATTCTGGGGTCAAGAAGGAATTTTTTTCCTAGCTTGTTGCAAAATTGTGCTTCAAACTGGGTTTTTTTGCCTTCTTTTGGATCAACAGCAAAAAACAAATGTGAGGAAGGCTGAACTTGATGGACGCAAGTCTCTTTTCAGCTATGTAACTATGTAACTATGTAAGTCCCAGATGTATATCCGCAGCTTCAAAGTGGATCGCTGCTCATACTCTCTGATATATTTTTTTATATATTCATTCTACTTGTCTTAGGTGCACCCTTATTTGTTCTTTTCTCTCCATTGTATTCCAAGGGGCTTAGAGGGGATTCCCCTTTTCCATAGGTGTGCTGCCTTGCTGTCATATTCTCTGTTTTCCTATCAGCGCTGAACCTCCTTCCTGAACTGGATGACATGGAGCTATATTCCACATAAGCTATTTAGCAAGTGGTTATCTCACTATCCCATTATAACAGATGCTTATGTAAACAAGTCTTAATATGACTCTCACAATATATTATTGGCATTATAGTCCTAAAAGGGCAGGCTATTTCTTGCATTGAATTTGATGGGAAATAATTCACTAGAGTTTTGTGTTATGCTGTTTTGTTTTGTTTATTTATTTATTTGCCTTTTTCATATATTTTTTTCTTTATCAAGGAGACATTTCTTTGAGAATTAGACAGCAGGTACATTGACAATGTGTGTACATCTCATCAAGCCATGGGAATTGGCATTTTTTAGGTGCTATGTGTGCTGACAACAGCTGTAAAAGTTGCAAAAAACATACAGTGCCAATGAGGAAGCAAGTATTCTAGCTGGCTGATTGACAAGTCAGAGAGGTGGTCTTACACATTAAACATGCTGAAATTATTTTCAAACCTTTCAGCTTCAAATATTTGTCACACAATTTGCTGGTCATGTCACTGGCACGCAAAGGTTTATAAGAGACTGCAAGGATGGGTTATGTGCAAAGTGGTTATGGGGCTTAAAGTAAAACTTTAATGTCCTCTGCTGGACAATTACAATCAATAAGACAATGATGAAAAACATTGAAATCTGGAAGCATTTTGAGGCATCTGTCATGAATAACTGCTGTTCTGTACACCCAAATCAAAACATAATGGCATCAAAACTTTACTAAAACATTAGAAATTACTACTTGCTTTGGCAGACTTTGATGATAAAATGATTTCATGAAACATCTTCGATTCCATGGATGCTTGCATCTTCAAATTAGCTACATCTCCTGTCTAGCAGGAAGTTAACAATTCTCAAAAGAGATAATGACATGCAAAAATGGGGACAATCATTTAAAGATCAGCCTTGTGTATGATTTTACTTTTAATTGTTCAAACAATTTTACAAATATTACTGCTGAAGAGCAGCAGTGAAACAGCGCAGTGGGCAGGTTTTTCAGTGAATTTCCTTGGTTATCAGCATTTAAAAATGTAACTTAGCAACTCTGATTCCATTAATGACAAATAAGCATGACGAGAATGATTTCAAGTTAAAAAATATTCAATGAGCTTTTGTGCCTTTTGAGTGGCTTTAGAATCCTGTAGATGCACACTATTTCTGAAATCTACAGATGAACACTTTGCATTTACCAATATTTACATAACTTTAATTTTTACAGAGCTACTGGGGTGTCTGCATTAATTTCGTAACCCAGGTAGGTTGCAAGCTAATAACCTGAGTATTAATGTGTTTTGTTTGTTTTCCATTTTTGCAGGTCGCCATCTAAATGTATGCATATTTTTGTGAATGTACATGAAAGCATATAGCTATAGTTTTGTCTGTTGAAGTTTGTAATGGGTTGAAATGCATGTGTGAATGCGTGAAAATTTAATTTGTGGGAATGTATGTATATTTACATAAAAGTGCATACGTATGTATGTTATGTATTTGATTGACCCATCTCATTACCAAACACTTTTTTGCCTGAAATAATATTAGCATAACATTTATTGGAAATATGACATACATAGCTAGCACATGAACATATAATAAACCTGACATTTTGTGTGCAAATTCCTCTTCAGACAAAATAAAAAATGTAAATTGTTTACATTTTTATTTTTATATTTTTAATTCATCCTTTACAGAAATGTTTGGGGAATTAATAACTTTAGATTGGAAACAGTGTGCACTATCTTGTAATATTTCCCAGAGGGTCTGAAATGTTAGTGTTAAAGCAAAAATACAATGTTTCTCACAAACAAATAGATAAATATAAATAGTCAAATAGCCTGCTTATAGGTACCTGTAAGGACTCAAAGTCGTTGCTAACAGTGCAGCTAGTAAAAGACAGAATGTAAAAAGAATGTTTGCATTTTAGCACATTATTATTATTATTATTATTATTGCCATTTATATAGTGCCAACAGATTCCGTAGCACTTTACAATATTATGAAAAG